AAAATGTTGCAGCTTTTTCCAGAAGATTGCTATATATTTGATATATTACTGAATCGGATGGATTCAAATTGGTAGTATTTAAATATTTTTGGGACACTAGTCCAACCCACCAACAGAAATGGCATGAGCTGATTGGACAATTTTGACTGGCATCATGTGTATCCAATGTAACGAATGGAACAGAATATGGATCCATTTGTTATCCAAATCTAAATTATTAAACAAATTCAAATTCATTTATTCATTTCCCCATCCTAAAAACACTATCTTATCATGTGGCATCATCCGAATGAAACAAATTAATTACTTAATTTTTTTTTTATTTGTTGACATATGTTGCTATGTCCATTTGGATATTTGTATACATCCGAATCTCCAAAAATGACATTTTGAATCCGAAAAATTAATTGTAAATAACACAAAATGCACATGTCTAGCCGTCAGGTAGAGGGAATACCAGGGAACATCTGTTTGTTGATCTCCTCTAGCTACTGTAGAATGAACATGGACACGACATGTAAAAAATAACGTCCAGTTTCTGGTGAAACTTTCCTTGGCTCTTGCCACTAAGGGAAATGCTAATGGTGCACAATATGTGCTAAAAGAACCCTGATGTCTCATGAAAGAGAACCTATCTTAAACAAACTTTATTTATATGACATGTGAAATAATATGTTTAAGTTAAATAATTAAGTTACACTCAAGCACTTAAAATCCCCCCCTAAAAATGTTAAGCCCACCCCACTCCCATGTGCATGCACACATTAACAGAAACACCAGTCAGGGGATGCCTACATATGAAAATCTTGTTTGTAATACACGTTACATTTCACAGCACACGCTAGAGTGAGAGCAGTAATTCTAGACCCATTAATCACAGCTAATGCTAAATTGATGACCTGTAGGAGTCACATTTAAGTCTCGATATTTGGATATCTATTGACTCCTAACCTCTTCTTTTCTATTTTACTAAAAAAATGGGTAATATATTGGGGTTGATTTACTAAAGGCAAATTTGAAAATGACAAAAAGTGACATTCACTAAATACACTAAATTCACATAGTAAAACATTGCTGTTTCAACCCATTTCACATACATTTTGTGTCCCGAGTGCTTTGTCCTGCGCCCTGCCTGCATTTTGTCTGTTCTTTCTGCCTGGAAACTTAGAAAAGTCCATGGTGTCCAAAAAGTGTCTCTTTAGGTCAAAAGTGGTTTTTTAGACCAGCTAGAGAACAGCGATAGTAAATCAGAACCACTTGCAGAATTGAGTGATGATTCGTGGGGGAAATTTGTCAGACACTGAAAACGATTTTGCGACTTTGCCCAGCGATGTGCGAACTTGGCGCTCTATTTCAAATTTCAGTGTTTTTGGTTTGATTATATTATTGAATTAAATTTTTATTATTATATTATTTGTTATGATTATTTATTAAATTATAATTTATGATTTCGTGTTTCAAATTTTATCATACCCGGGATGTTTACTAGACTCTTGTTCGGACAGATTTCAGTGAGTTTTTCCTAAAAATTACAGGCCTACAATAAAAAAAAAATACATATTTCCATGCAAAAAAATGTACCGCTTTGAGCACAGAAATATGGACGTAATCAGAGATTAATAAAATGTTAATAAATCAACACATTGTGTTTTGTGCCCTAAAATTAACTGAAATATATTTTTCACTGAAATTTTTGTGCTTAAATAAAAAATATTTTGTTACATAAAAAATTGGAACTACCACTATTTTATTCTCTAGAGTCTATGGGGGTTATTTACTAAAACTGTTGAGTACAAAATCTGGAGCAACTCCATAGAAAACAATCAGATTCCAGGTTTTATTGTCAAAGCTTAATTGAACAAGCTGAAGTTAGAAGCGGATTGGCTGTCCTGTACAGCTGTACAAGATTCTGAGTGCTCCAGTTTTAGTAAATCTCCCCCTATGTGTCTAGAAAATATATAATGTTTGGGGCTATTATTTAATCTTCAGGCCCAAAATGTTTTTTTTTAAACTTGCAAAAAAAGTAAAAGGTTCTGTGAGCAAGAAAGTTACAGATGAACTCAATCTAAAACTTTTTAGGCAGTTACAGCGAACAGTTTTTTAAACCGTTTTTAAGTTAACCACTTCAAGTCCGGACACTTTCACCCCCTGCCAGCCCAGGCCATTTTTCAGCTTTTGGCGCTGTCACACTTTAAATGACAATTGCGCAGTCATCCAACACTGTATCCATATGAAATTTGGATATTTTTTTTCACACAAAGTTTTCCTTTGGTGGTATTTGAACACCACTGGGTTTTTTATTTTTTGCTATATAAATGGAAAAATACTGACAATTTTGAAAGAAAAAAAAAAAAAGGTTTTGCTTTGTATTTGTATATAAAATTTAGCAAATAAATAATCTCTCTCTTTATAAATTTCTGCTATATTTGTTTGGTAAAAATACAAAAAAAAGTGTATATTATTTAGTTTGTGTAAAAATTATAGAGTATATTAACTAGAAAATATATATCTGAAAAATTGATCAGTTGAGACCCCAAAATGCCGGACACTGGTATGACATATGGCAGTGATTAGGGCATTGGTATGAGCTATGATGGGGATCATGGGTTATAGCATTGATCAGAACGCTGGTATGGGGTGATCAGAAAGCTGATATGGGCTTTGGCAGTGATCAAGATGCTGGAATGGCATATGGGGTGATCTGGATGCTGCTATGGGGTATAGAGTTGATCAGGGCACTGGTATGGTGTATGGCAGTGATCAAAGTGCTGATATGGCCTATGGTGGTGATCAGGGCCCTGGACGGCAGTGATCATCGCTCTGGTATGGGGTATGGTGGTGATCAGTATGCTGGTATGGCAGTGATGAGGACATTGCTATGGTGCATGGAAGTGATCAAGGTGATGGTGGTGATCAGGATGCTGGATGGCATATGGCGGTGATAATGGCACTGGTATGTAGTATGGCAGTGATCAGTGCACTGGTATGGCATTGATCAGGACACTGCTATGGTGGATGGTGGTGTTTTTTGTGAGCACTGAGACAGGTGACAGGCTCTGGCTGCATGTTTTATTATGATCACACTGGGGCCATGATCAGAGACACTGGGGTGGCTGGCACTTCAGTCTGTGAGTGTACAAACATCCTGACAGGCTACTGTACACTCACAGGCTGCTGAGTTAATTTTCTCTGCTCTCACAGTGAGAGCAGAGAGAAATTATATTTACTTTCACTTGGTATTGTTTACTATGTGATTGCTGTGATTGGACACAGCAATCACATGGTACAATACCATGTGACCAGCCAGACACAGTGGTAATGTGATCTGCTGTGTCTGGGTGACACACGGATCACCAGACTCCCGGATGCGCATTCTGTGAGCCTCCGATCTGGGCTGACATACAGGTATGTTAGCCCACATTGGCGCTGCATCTATAGGCAATGGGTGGATGGGAAGCAGTTAATAAAAGCTGTTCACAGTAAGCCTCTCCGTCAATGCAAAATGGTTTGAATTACCCTCTGTCACTTTTGCTGTGCCGTTTTTAGTTACCGGAGAGACTCCAAAAACAAAGATCGCTTTGTTAATGCTAATGACAGACTGTATCATATAAAAATCAGTTTTGATTTTACCTTCAGTATCATAAGAGAGAGATTTTATGTTTGACCCTGGCTTATTAAATAAGGCAATGCGTGAAGTACTATAAATTACTGATCGGAATTTATGTTTTATTAATTTGACTTTGGTTGCTCTGCTCTCTCTTGCTGTTTGCAATACTTTCACAATGGAGTCAATCTGCATACTAAATGTTGGTTGTACATGTGCAGTTCTGGTGTCAGGAAGGATGAGTTTTTTGCATAGTCAACATAGGCAGTCTCTTAGCATAAGAGGACTTCTAGGGAAGCATAAAGCTTCCCACTCAAAGTAAGATTTTTGGCAGCATGGAGGCAGAAATGGTATTTTAGGAGGGCAGATCTGTATAGGGTTAAGTCTTCCAGGGATTTAGTTTTACGCCACAGTCGTTCAACAGCACAGCACTGTCTCTTGAGATTTCTGATGTTGTCAATTTGCCAAGGTTGTGATGGACGGGGCCTGATTCTGTGTTTAGTTAGAGGAGCAAGTGTATCTAGTAAGGATGAAAGTGAACTGCTATATACAGAAGTGGCTAGGTTAGGGATGGACAAGGGTGAGATTTTGTCATTAAGGTGGTTAGTAGCAGAATAGAGAAACAACGTGTTAAATTGGCAAAGGTTTCTATGGGTAATCATTTGCTGCTTGAAGGAATTGGTGATCGAAGACAAGGAAAGTGTGATTTTGATGAGGTTGTAATCAAAGAGAGGAAAGGGGGTGTTGGCGAGGTTGTCAGGAGTGCAGAGATGGGAGAATACAAGGTCAAGGGTGTTGCCATAAGAGTGAGTGAAAGTGTGTATATATTGGGTGAGGTCAAAAGACAAGTTTAAGTTGAGAAGTCACCAGACTGCGAACATTAAATGGGGATGTTAAAGTAACCAAGAATGATAATGGATATTTTAGAGGAAAGAAAGTAGGGTAGCCAGCCAGAGAAGTCATCAAAGAATGATACTGAGGCAGATAAAGCACTGCAAACCTCAGAGAAATTGGACAAAACCAATGAATACAGTGAGTCTAAAAGAGGAGAGGAATAGAGAGGGAAGTGCATAAAAGGCAGAAAGAGTTATAGGTACATGGAACATGCAAACCAAAAGTCCACAACAAGTCCTTATGATATAGGAATCCAGATATAGGAAGGGAGATAAGACAGTCTGAGCACTAGGGCAGGCTATAGTAGAGTAGAAGCAGGCTGTGGACATGGGATAAACCAAGAGAGAAACAGTGCCTTTAAGTGCAGACTTTGACAACTTTTTATTTAAAAAATAGGTAGACAACTCACATTTAAGTGATAAAACAGGCTCATCAGTAAGATAGATGGTCAGTGCTCCACATGGAAGGCACCCAAACTCCTCGTTGCAGTCTTCTTCTAGATATGTGACTCAATTTCACATTTGGTGTTTGGCTTCTCTGTTCACCTAAGGTGAACATACACTATATTGCCAAAAGTATTGGGACGTCTGCCTTTAAACATAGATGAACTTTAATGGCATCCCAGTCTTCGTCTGCAGAGTTCAATATTGAGTTGGCCCACCCTTTGCAGCTATAACAGCTTCACAAGGTTTAGGAGGGTGTCTATGGGAAGGTTTGACCATTCTTCCAGAAGCGCATTTGTGAGGTCAGGCACTGATGTTGGATGAGAAGGCCTGACGGGTTGAGGTCAGAACTCTGTACAGGCTAGTAAAGTTCTTCCACCCCAAACTCGCTCCTCCATGTCTTTATGGACTTTGCTTTGTGCACTGGTGCGCAGTCATGTTGGAACAGGAAGGGGCCATCCCCATACTGTTCCCACAAAGTTGGGAGCATGACATTGTCCAAAATGTCTTGGTATGCTGACTCCTTAAGTGTCCCCTTCACTGGAACTAAGGGGCCAAGCTGAACCCCAGAAAGAAACCCCCCCATCATAATTACCCCTCCACCAAACTTTACATTTGGCACAATGCAGTCAGGCAAGTACCATTTTCCTGGCAACCGCCAAACCCAGACATCCATTGGATTGCCAGATAGAGATGATGATAATTTGTCATTCCAGAGATGTGATTTGTCACTCCAGAGAACACGTCTCCACTGCTCTAGAGTCCAGTGGTGGCGTGCTTTTACACCACTGCATCTGACGCTTTGCATTGCGCTTGGTGAAAGAAGGCTTGGATGCAGCTGCTCGGCCATGGAAACCCATTCCATGAAGCTCTCTACACACTGTTATGCTAATCTGAAGGCCACACAAAGTTTGGAGGTCTTTAGCTATTGACTCTGCAGACAGTTGGTGACTTATGCGCACTGTGCACTTCAGCATGCGCTGACCCTGCTCTGTCATTTTATGTGGCCTACCACTTGGTGGCTGAGTTGCTGTTGTTCCCAGTTGCTTCAACTTTTGTTATAATCCCACTAACAGTTGACCGTGGAATATTTAGTAGCCAGGAGATGTCACAGATGGAGTTATTGCACAGGTGGCAACCTATCACGGGACCACGCTTGGAGTCACTGAGCTCCTGAGAGCGACCCATTCTTTCACAAATGTTTGTAGAAACAGTCTGCATGCCTAGGGGCTTGATTTTATACACTTGTGGCCATGGAGGGGTGTCTCAATACTTCGCAATATAGTGTGTATATATATATATATATATATATATATATATATATATATATATTCATCTATATATTTATAAAGGCAAGTCTGCCACAAACACAAGAATGTTTACGCAAAATTGGCTGGTGCATTTTCAACAAACTCTTCATATTTTTCAGACAGGGGCGTAATATCTGCTTTAGCAATCACAAAATATGCATGACCTTTGACCTGCTAGACCTTTATGCAGTCACCATGGCATAGTAAGCTGGACAGAAAACCTTTTGATTGGCATCCACATCAAATCCAAAGTTCCATTATTTTGAGTAGAATATCTGTGTCGCTATTGCAGATCCATAGCAAGATCATTCCATATGTATTCACATCTGTAGCAGCAGAAGCAGACTGTTCTGTCTTCAGTTCAGGAGCTGTCCACAGCAAGAAACGAATGCAGGTAGCAGAACTCTTCTGTTTCACATCTTTAGTAAAATCAAAGTCTCCAGTGTTTCATCTCTCTCATTTTACAGCAAACACATTGTTTCCTTGTAGAGAACCAGTAATTATATTGGCTGCATGCTGGGTCTACATGACCCACCCCACTCATTATTTTTACAATCTAGTAAGAATTCAAAAGGACTAATAGCCTGGACAGCGCCCAGACTCCAACCAGCATAAAAGAGAACCATCAAACATACTATAGAATAATCCATGGCACATCCTTGACTCTCAGTAGTCCATTCCTTCTCGCCTTCACATTACTGTGACCATGGTGTGACCAGCCTTTTCTTGCAAGGAACCTAATTTTCTTTTGCTTGACAAAAAAAAAAAAAAAATTATATATATATATATATATATATATTTTTTTTTAGGTGACTTTGAATGTGGCATGATTGTTGGTGCCAGACGAGGTGGTCTGAGTATTTACAAAAAACTCCTGATCTGCTGGGATTTTCATGCAGAACCATCTCTAGAGTTTACAGAGAATGGTCCAAAAAAGAGAAAATATCTAGGGGGCAACAGCTGTGTGGATGAAAATTCCTTGTTGATGTCAGAGGACAATGGGCAGACTGGTTGCTGCGACATTCAGATGGTATGGTCAGAATTTGGTGTAAACAACATGAAAGCATGGATCCATCCTACCGTGTGTCAATGGGTTAGGCTGGTAGTGGTGTAATAGTGTGGGGATATTTTTCTTCGCATTAGCAAGGTGTACCTAATAAAGTGACCAGTGAGTGCATGTATACACTATATTGCCAAAAGTATTGGGACACCCCTCCAAATAATTGGATTCAGGTGTTCCAATCACCTCCCTCCATGGCCACAAGTGTATAAAATCAGGCATCTAAGTATGCAGATAGCTTCTACAAACATTTGTGAAAGCATGAGTAACTCTCAGGAGCTCAGTGAATTCAAGCGTGGTCCCGTGATAGGTTGCCACCTGTGCAATAACTCCATCTGTGACATTTCCTGGCTACTAAATATTCCATGCTCAACTGTTAGTGGTATTATAACAAAGTGGAAGCAACTGGGAACAACAGCAACTCAGCCACAAAGTGGTAGGCCACATAGAATGACAGAGCGGGGTCAGTGCATGCTGAAGCACACAGTGAGCAGAAGTCACCAACTGTCTGCAGAGTCAATAGCTAAAGACCTCCAAACTTCATGTGGCCTTCAAATTAGTATAATATAAACATGCAGCGCTAATCATGTAATAGGAGCATGAAGCATATAAAACATATACAAAAAGGTCCAATTGTTATCAATATAACATAGATATTGCGTTAAAATAAGTGACTATATAGTGATAATATGACCTATATCAGCAATCAAGGCTCGTAAAACTGGGAGATAAGCACACTGTGGCGTTGCAAAAATTCACGTGAAAACGTCCAGAGTTGGCATTTATAGGGTGCATAAAGTGAAACAAATCCAAAGTTCAATCACAGTATATTGCTGGGAATCCGTGATAATAGTGTTGAAAAAAATGTGTCTAGATTGCACTAACCAGAAAGCGCAAATCAATGCGCATTTCAGTATATTAGGACCAACTCCTGGTTATCACCATCTGGTAGCTGAAACACTGGGGGTCATCTAGTGAGCATCAGCTGAGCAGGCAGCACACCATCAGGACATGCAGGCACCAGGAGTACACTCCTTTAACACCAGGGGGAACCACACGTGTAGGTAATGCGGGGTCACCAAGGATCTCCTTGGGGAGGGCTCATAACAAACGAGCCAGAGCAGAAAAGATTCCCATAGTGTAGTACTTTAATAAATTATGGGGATAGTAGTATAAGAAAAACACACTCACAGTATAGTAAAATGAGAGTAGTCATAATGGGCGCCGGCCGTCCACGTGGGCCGTGCGGAGTGACGTCACAGGGTAGGGCACCTCCCTTACACATTTTGTGCCCGTGCACGTTATCCCTTTACGAAACATGTAAGAGAGGTGCCCTACCCTGTGACGTCACTCTGCATGACCCACGTGGTAGTGGTGTAAAGCACGCAGCCACTGGACTCTAGAGCAGTGGAGAAGTGTTCTCTAGAGTGACAAATCATGCTTCTCTGTCTGGCAATCCAATGGACATGTCTGGTTTTGGCAGTTGACAGGAGAACAGTACTTGCCTGACTGCATTGTGCCAACTGTTTGATGAAGGGGAGATTATGGTGTGGGGTTGTTTTTCAGGGTTTGGGATTGGCCCCTTAAGGCGTCAGCATACCAAGACATTTTGGACAATTTCATGCTCCCAACTTTGTGGGAACAGTTTGGGGATGGCCCCTTCTTGTTCCTATATGACTGCACACCAGTGCACAAAACAAGGTCCATAAAGACATGGATGAGTGAACACCTTTGGGATGAATTGGAGCGGAGATTCCGAGCCAGGCCTTCTCATCACAATAGTGCTTCTGGAAGAATGGTCAAACATTCCCATAGACAACCTCCTAAACCTTGTGGACGGCCTTCCCAGAAGAGTTGAAGCTGTTATAGCTGCAAAGGGCGGGGTCAACTCAATATTAAACCCTATGGACTAAGACTGGGGGGCCATTAAAGTTGTGTGTGTCTCTGAAGGCAGGCATCCCAGTACTTTTGGCATTATAGCGTATATACATTTTTTTTTTTTACCAAATTTGCAAATATGTAAACAATAAAATAAATTATTGTCCTACTTTCTTTTAATCCCCAGACTACTAATATTTATGAAGGTTATGTAGAATGTGGTCATAGGATTCCACACCTGTTTTTTTGCTGCTGACTGACCTTACCCTTGCATTAGGAAAGAACCAGCATCCTTTTTTAGTTTTACAAAGTGTAAGGGAGGGGTTAAGTCCTTGGACTGTTTTTGTAAAAGTAGTTTGCATTGTTAATCTTATCCATCTTTGCAACACCAGTGTAGAGATGGCCTTACAATGAAAAAAATTTAAGTTTCATCTGTAAATACAAAATTCTCTTAAAAACACAATGCAACCTACACGTTCAAAACCTCAGCACATCACTTTAGGAGTGACTTTTTTTTTTTTGAAGAGTAAGAGCATTCAGCCTATGGTCATCAATTTATGCAGGAATTATTTCTGCTGCCATTCAAATTGGGCTTGGAGCACATTGTGTGTTGAGCTGCAGATCTGCATTTCCTTCATCAGTTAAAACGAAAAGGTGATGGTGTGAGGAATAAGTGTTCTAAAGGGTTATCATGCATAAGACACTTTATAAAAGATTCATCGGTTTGTCCTTATAAGGACTTTTATAGGTTGTTGTTCTTTGTCACTATTACAATTAGAAAGAGCTATGAGAGGATGTATATAATATGAAATGTTGAGAGCACTGGTGTACTTTATTTATGTTGACACTTTGGAAATTTGAATCGGAAAGTCATATATTCACTCTATTTAGGTTTGTATAATTTGAAAGCTTTTTTTATGATTGGATGTAGGATTATAGATTATGTTATACTGTGTTTTTGGCATTGATATAGGGGCATTCAAGTCAAACCGGGACTTTTGAATTTATATAATAAAAAGAACACATTTTAAAGAGTGGAGACTGCATTTATTTTTTAACCTACTCCCCTGCTACATTTATACACTTATCCCAGCATTTAACTAATGACTGAAAAGCTTTTGGCATTGAAAGATCTGTCAGTACGCCTGAAACATTCTAGGGACAGCCTGCTTCATTGTCATCATTGTTAGAGATGAGCGAATTATTCAAAAATTTCGATTCGGCTGATTCGCCGAATTTGCGGGAGAAATTTGATTCGATGCGAATTTATTCGCCGCAAATTTAACTTATTTAAAGGGTTTCTAGGAAAGAAGAATGAAAAGAAGAATGCAAAGAAGAAGAAGAATGAAAAGAAGAATGAGAAGAAGAATGAAAAGAAGAATGAGAAGAAGAATGAGAAGAAGAATGAGAAGAATGAAAAGAATGAATGAGAAGAAAAAGAAGAATGAAAAGAAGAAGAAGAAGAATGAAAAGAAGAATGAAAAGAAGAAGAAGAAGAATGAAAAGAAGAAGAATGAAAAGAAGAATGAAAAGAAGAAGAAGAATGAAAAGAAGAAGAAGAATGAAAAAGAAATGAACTATATTACTATATCAGTCTCTAATGGATGCTGGAGAGTTAAACCCCCTAACACCTGCTGTGCCCATTATGCAAGAGGGGTTCCCACCATCCCTGTGCTGAGGTTCCAGGTCCTCACACCTGCTGCGCCCATTATGAGAAGTTCCCACCATCCCTGTGCTGAGTTCCTGGGTCTGTACACCTGCTCTGCCCATTTAGGAGGAGGAAGGATCCCTGTGCTAAAATTCCTGGGTCTGTACACCTGCTGTTCCCATTATTAAGGGTTTCTACTATCCCTGTGCTGAAGGTCCCAGGTCTGCACACCTGCTGCGCCCATTACTAGGGGTTCCCACCATCCCTGTGCTGAGGTTCTGGGTATGCACACCTGCTGTGCCCATTATGAGGGTTCCCACTGTCCCCGTGTTGAATTCCTGAAGGGGTCTGTATGAACACCTGCTGTGTCCATTGAATTGAGGGATTCCCACCATTCCTGCACTGAGTACCTGAGTCTGTACACCTGCCAAAAGAAAGTTTCAGGATTTTGAATGAGCAAAATACAGTAATACTGGAACAAAAATGAGCTGCGTGGTGGAGTTGCCAGAAGAAGAAGAAGAAGAATGAAAAGAAGAAGAATGAAAAGAAGAATGAAAAAGAAGAAGAATGAAAAAGAAGAAGAATGAAAAGAAGAAATGAGAAGAATGAATGAGAAGAATGAAAAGAAGAATGAAAAGAAGAATGAGAAGAATGAAAAGAAGAAGAAGAATGAAAAGAAGAAGAAGAAGAATGAAAAGAAGAATGAGAAGAATGAAAAGAAGAATGAAAAAGAAGAAGAAGAATGAGAAGAAATGAAAAGAAGAATGAAAAGAAGAAGAAGAATGAAGAAGAATGAGAAGAAGAATGAAAAGAAGATTAAGTATGAGAAGAAGAATGAGAAGAATGAAAAGAAGAAGAAGAAGGAAAAAGAAGAAGAATGAAAAGAAAGAATGAAAAGAAGAAGAAGAATGAGAAGAATGAGAAGAAGAATGAAAAGAAGAAGAAGAATGAGAAGAATGAAAAGAAGAATGAGTAAGAAGAATGAGAAGAAGAATGAGAAGAATGAAAAGAAGAATGAGAAGAAGAATGAGAAGAATGAAAAGAAGAATTAGAAGAAGAATGAGAAGAATGAAAAGAAGAATGAAAAGAAGAAGAAGAAGAATGAAAAGAAGAAGAAGAGAAGAAGAATGAAAGAAGAAGAAGAATGAAGAAAAGAAGAAGAAGAAGAAAATGAAAAGAAGAAGAATAATGAAAAGAAAGAAGAAGAAGAGAAAGAATGAAATGAAGAATGAGAAGAATGAAAAGAAAGAATGAAAAGAAGAATGAGAAGAATGAAAAGAAGAATGAAAAGAAGAAGAAGAATGAAAAGAAGAAGAATGAAAAGAAGAAATGAAAAAAGAAGAAGAAGAAGAATGAAAAGAAGAAGAATGAAAAGAAGAAAAAGAAGAAGAAATGAAAAGAAGAAGAATGAAAAGAAGAATGAAGATGAAGAAAAGAAGAAGAGGAATGAAAAGAAGAAGAAGAGAATGAAAAGAAGAAGACAAAAAGAAGAATGAAAAGAAGAAGAAGAATGAATGAATGAAAAGAAGAAGAAGAAGAATGAAAAGAAGAAGAAGAAGAATGGAAAGAATGAAAAGAAGAAGAATGAAAAGAAGAATGAAAAGAAAAAGAAGAATGAAAAGAAGAATGAAAAGAAGAAGAAGAAAAATGAAAATAAGAATGAAAAGGAATGAAGAAGAAGAAGAATAAGAAATAAGAATGAAAAGAAGAAGAAGAATGAAAAGAATAAGAAGAAGAATGAAAAGAAGAATGAGAAGAAGAATGAAAAGAAAGAATGAGAAGAAGAATGAAAAGAAGAATGAAGAAGAATGAAAAGAAGAAGAATGAAAAGAAGAAGAAGAAGAATGAAAAGAAGAAGAAGAAGAATGAAAATAAGAATGAAGAAGAATGAAAAGAAGAAGAAGAATGAAAAGAAGAATGAGAAGAAGAATGAAAAAATAAGAAGAAGAAGAATGAAAATAAGAATGAGAAGAATGAAAATAAGAAT